GGGCGCGTCTTCCCGGCCTTGTGTGTTAAGCCCCTGTGGCTTGCCCGGCGGGCGGCCGGTGCCGGAGTCACGGGGTCGTGCCGCAGTGTCCCCGGCAAACAAGCGCAGGGTGGGGAGGGTGCAGCCGTCCTGAAGAGGCCCGAGGGGCAGCGGGGGCAGAAGCTGTGTGGTGGTTTCCCCGCGCCTTCTGGGGCGTCTGCGGGCTTGGGCTGTGTGGGGAGAACCGGTGTTTTCCGTCTGTTACCTGTAACCCTTCATCCTTTTAAGTGAGGGAACACAAGCAGGATAAAAACATTGCAATACAGTAAAGTATTTACAAATCCTACCTGTTTACCTCAGCTAAGCAACACCTTCTGTCCGAATTCCTATTAACTGCTGTAGCTACAACCTGGCCCGTAGAAGAGTAGCCACTCCTGGTTAATAGTCACCTTCCTGCAGCGCTGAGGTGGGGCACAGAGCATGAGCGGATGCCCGCAGTGCACCCCGATGCTGGCTCTTCGCAGCCTGTGCTGCGATAAAGTGGTGTCGTGGTTTGGGCTGGATCAGCCACTGAAACGAATGGTGAATGCTCTTTTCTGTCCCCTTCAGAGAAGGAAAAGCATCTCCCATCGGGAAAGAACATCCCTGAGAGAAACAGACTTAGGAGTTTAAAGGAAACTAAACTGCTTTAATGAAATACTAATAAACTAATAAAAAGAAAATAATGAAATATATACAATATATACAAGATCAGTACCAAGCTCCCGGGATGATGATCACATCACCAGCTGACACTGGGAAAGTCCCAGACTTGACTCAGCAACGGGCGGAAACTTGATTCCAGATCTGGATTCAGGAATGCACATAGTGGGATCAAAGGCAGACAAACAGACCAAGTCCTACTTGGACGCCGGCCATTGAAGAAAGAGAGTTGACCCTTTGATCCCTCAGCTTTTATACTGAGCATGAGGCAGATAGGGTGGAATACCCTGTTGGTCAGTTTTGGGTCACCTATCCTGTACGCTCCTCCTCGTACGTGGGACCCCTCTTTGCTTTTCCACTTCTGACCCTTCAATGGGGCAAACAACCAAGTCAGCTGTCCTTGGGTGTTATAGTGATAAGTATAAGCAAGAGCCTCTCTGCATACCGTTCCTTGGCATAAATTACACCTAATCAGGTCTTATTACTCTGGAAGCAGACGGTGTCTGAAAAAAAATGCTGTTAATTTCAGAGAGTTAGAAGAGGCATAATGAATAATAAAATTCTGAACACAAAATTAGTTCTGTTTTACCTCAAACCAGGACAGATGGCCAGCCAGTTGCTAGTCTGGCTTAGACCTCCCAAGTGTCCTTAAGTGCCAGATAGGACCAAAGGCACCCATGTTTTGGCCTTAGAAACTGCAAGTGTGTGGCAGATTGGTCAGGCTGCTGCATGCCTGTGTGGGGCTCGCTGAGCGTGCACACTGAGCTGATGCTGCAGACGTTGGGCTTCCCCCATGCACGTGCCACTCATGTTTGTTCTTGCACAGTGTCCCATGCATCCCAGTCACCCTGTGCAGTAAGTTGAACTTCTCTGGAAGACACGCAGGCATGTGTCTCCCTATCTGGGAAAAGTGTCTGGGCTGAAACTGGGGAACTGATGTCTGCCTAACTACTACGACCTAGTTGCAGAACTCAAACGACAGCTTGTGACTGGATTTAATTTGACTCCCGCCTCTGCCTTCTTCAAATGTTCAAAGGACAGCTTTTCAGCTGTTTGAGGAGGCATGAGCAGGCAGCTCTGATGGGTTACACATGGGCCGTGACCTGACAGACACACCAGGGAATACATCTACTTTAGGCTCCCTCTGCCTGAGAGACAGAGGAGCTACAAGCAGGGACATTTCCCACTCTTCCTATTCTTATTGTATAGTAGGTACTATACCGGTGCCTTCTGTAGAGTTTTACTAGCCCTTCCATGGACAGAAGATGTCCTGCTCGGTAATCTTCTGATGGAGGAAAAGCAGATCTCTTCTCCTCCATCTTATTTCTAGTTCCTTGTTACATTCTGATGATTACCTTATCACTTTAGTCTCGTGGCTACAATAATTAGATTTGCTATTTTTTCACAATGTTACCTTTGTCTAACATAGGTAGAAGGGAACAAAGGAGGTCACACTGAGCTTTAGGTGTCATTGCCAGCACCACAGCACGGCTGCAAACACAAGTCACATGTAGGATGAATCCTTCCTTGGCATCGTCTCTTAGAGGAAGCCGCCCTCTTCATTTCTAGCTTTCTTGCCACAGTTCTTCACCTTTCCAGTGCCCAGATGGCTGATTCCCAAACGAGCTAGCTTCCAGCGCAATGCGTCTGCAGGAGGCCAGAAGAAGTGCCCGGAGTCCAGAGCTTGGGCAGAGACCACCCAGGGCCCAGGGGAGGGAGGGTTAACCTCTTTGCAGACCAATGCCAAATTTGTTTCAGAGCCCTGCAGCTCTTTTGCTGGTTCCAGCCCCAGGTCCTGATGACCAGCCTGGTGTGGATGCCAGTGGTTCACTAGCCCTGGCTGAGGGGATCAGCGAGTGAAGGAAGGAAGTGAAGAAGAGCAGACCTATGCATTGATTTTCTAGGACGATGACAGTGGCTGAAGAGAGGAACGAAGGCCCAACAGAAAGGGTGATTTAGACAGGAATTCAGGAATATGTTCAAGGAGTCATGTTGGAGGTTGCAGCCACCTAAGCAAACTAGCTGGACTCCCTCAGCTTCCTCTGTTGCCCATGAGGGCAGGTTCTCCCAAGGACAATCCAGAACACTAAATTTTGGATCTGCTTGGGTTTGCTCTGGAAGACCTGTTTTTCCTCCATTGGTTATAGAGGGGAATGGTGGAGAGTTCCTTTGCTAAAATAGGAGGCCAAGTTGGTTGAGTGTCAATATCCATCCCCAGGATTTCTGTGAATTACGGTCAGGCATGACTGCCCAGTGCCCTGAACCTTGCCCAAAGCAAGTCACAAAGGTGACACGTGGTCACAGAAGGGACTCTGGGCTGTAAGCGTACTCTTTTACTGAGCAGAAGAGAGAGAATTTAAATCTGTCTCTTACAGGCTTGACATGTTACCATGCGCTTTTGGTCTGCATAATTATGGAAGAACTATTAGCTCTACAAATAGTCTGCAGGAGTAAATACTCATGGGAGATTTGCTGTTTGCTGCCACAAGACAAATGCCATGACCTCTATATCAACAATATCAACAATATGTGTTATGGTTGTATCAATTTGTGCATGAAATGGGGCAGGGGGTGTGGGGTGTCACTGCTTCTTAACACATATAGGAAAGCTATTTCCTCCCTGCAAAAATTACATCCCACATATACAATCCCCTCTAGAGTCAGACCCTGCATCTTCAGCACTGGAAAGCAATGTATATGTTTCTCTCTGTAGTGAAGATGGTTCTGAGATGCATGCAGGTGTGGAACATCTGTCCCATGCTGTTAAAATGTTTGAAAGAAATTAAGTCTCTGAGAAAAGAGATTTGAACCATAATTTTTCCCTACTTATGATGAGTGAAAATTGTGCATTTAATATAACCGTAGAGTACTACTGTGCGCCGCAAGAAAACCTTTGTAATATGAGCAAGGTATGGGAAAAATCCTGAAAAAGGCCTTAGAAATTATTCTGATTTTAGGCTGAAAAGTAATATTAACTAACCAGTATCCTGATATTTCCAGAATTGCTTTTTTCATTTCCCAAAATGCCAGTTGAGTGATCAGATTTGCTTCCCTTGTATAAACAATAGTCTCTGGAACCTATTCACAAACCAAATAAAATCAAACATATGCTCTTATTTAAATTATTCACTTCTATTTCTGTCATAATGGTACTTGAAAATCATCATGTCAGTCAGAATCCTGTTGCATTAGGTGTTGTGCTTTGCTAAGAGTCCACCCTTATTTCAGAAAGGTGAACAGGAGAGGCAGGGAGGGCAGGGAGAGGAGGCAGGAGTGACGGCAGAGAGGATGGAGTGGCAGAACTGAGACTGGAAACTGTGTCATAAATCTGTCCTGCCCACTGGGTAGCACTATCCCTTACAGGAGCTCAAAAGTGAGCTGCTGAGCTGGCAGGGGGAAGTTCGCAGTCTAAACTTTAGTGTGTGGTCTCCAGGAACCTTTGGGTACCTCCGGTGAGAAGTTATATATTATTATATTCTTTCTTGAAAAACAATCTTTGTGTTGGTAGCAGCTTGATTTCAAATGTTTTCTTTAAGCCTTACATTTCTCTGTCTCAGTCTTAATTTGTTCCTAAATGAATCAAGGATGGGAGGATTTTGGGATGTGTGCATTAAAGCTCTGATTGATATTACAGAAATTGTTCTTCACAAATAATTAATTTGTTTCTAACGCATCTGTGCTATCTTTCCTTAGAAGAGATTTGTGTACATTTGCACAATAGAGTGGTAGGTGCTATTTTGAAATCCTTGTGCAGGGTTTAAGAAAAGCTTTTTGTCATGTTTTTCTTCAATGTTAATTCTTATACAGTTTTTTTCCCTAAAAAAAAATTATCTCCAGTGGAACAGCTAAGAGAACAGGGGAAAACAAAATTAATCTTAAAGATTCCGGCTGCTGTTGCCGACATGCGGAACAGAATGGCCACAAGGTGGTAGCAGTCTGTAAGGGAGGGACAGGAGATGGCTCTGAGCTTTGCTGCTGCATCCAAGGAGGCAAATACTGCCTGTGTACCTTATGCCATGCAGCGGAGCATTCACAGTGTGCAAGCAGAGTTATTTTAGATCTATTTTCTGTTAACTTGTGTTATATGAGCCAGCAGTGTGCCCAGGTGGCCAAGAAGGCCAATGGCATCCTGGCCTGTATCAGGAATAGTGTGGTGAGTAGGACTAGGGAAGTGATTGTTCCCCTGTACTCTGGCAC